GTCTTTCTGCACATGGTTTTTCTCCCCGGCACTTCGGTAACTTTTATTCATAGACCTATTTGAATATTAATAGCATTCATACTTGGTTTTCATGTTTTTTTAAAATTTATAATCTTCTGTATGATTTTATTTTTGTTTTTCGTCCGTCAGTTTACACTAGAGTTTTTAAATGTGTTGTTTTATTAAGACAATAAGGAAAAGCCTTTTTTTCTGTTTTACAAACATACATAGGCCTAGTACGTCTAGATATTATTACGATTGCCAGTCATGAGTAACAACAGTAACATCTGTTTTGAAACCGACTTCAAGCAGTGGCGTATCTAGGGATGCGCGGGGTGGGGTGCACACCCCTCCAAAAATACTTCGCCCTTCAACCCCCCCAGTCGTACCCCCAAAATCACGCTAAAGTAGTTAAAAATCACCTAACATTACCTTATTTTGCGAGTTAGCGCCCCTCACATAGGCTAACCGTTGAGCCCCTTCGCGCTCCCTCATCAGCTCCCCACCCTCTCCCATTGTAAGACTCCTAGATACGCCACTGACACCAAAGCAGTAATAGGTCTAGACAAGGGAGTGGCGGTACATCAGTTGCGACTTGGGTTCTCACTGAAGTCGGAATATTGAGAATACAAATTCTGATTTTGACACGGTTTGAACTCAGCACCTCTCGTACTTTGGAAGGTGAACCTCTAACCACCAAGCTAGCTCCACTCTTTATAATATCGTTCTGAACTCTCCCTCGAGGGATGAATTAAATCTGCAAATGACGGAAATAATATCCGCCTTCGGCTCATTCATAGTGAAAAAGCAGAATACTGATATTCTTTGAATAATTTTACCGTAATTAATTAACAAATCCTACCATGTTCTTTACTTATGGTTTTTTATCATCACGAACATGATGCACTGGGGTGTTCTTTTGAATTTCGATTTCACCTAAATCTTCTTGTGTGAGAATGCGAACACGATTGCCCCACTAATAATATTTTCCATAAGCACGCCCATTAATTAGGCCTTTTTGTTTTCAAAGAATTTTCGCTTATTTTAATACATGGGTCTGGGTATCGGTAAATGCTGACTGGTAAGGGGTCGATATACCGTAAAATCTCGATTTGAAGCCCTGGGCTTCTCTTTTTATTTGCGAAATTTGAGATGGGCTTCTTTTCGAGATGGGCTTCTTTTCGAGACTACTTTTGCGAATTAAAGAGGGGGTGGGGGGCTTCTTTTCAAAATGAATGCTGTAAATTTTGTGAATTTGTACTACAAAACAATAAATAAGGCCACTGTACCATCAATCTGTATCAACTGGCATCAAATCATCTAAACTACTGCAAAAATTAAGCTTGTATTTATTATTTTCTTTTCTGAAATTCATGTACAGTGTATGTACTGTACTATCTCGAAACGAAGCATATAGCTATCTTGAAATTTGAGACTAATTTTGGAAACTAAAGAGGGGCTTCAATTCGAGGTGGGCTTCATCTCGAGATTAAGCTCAATGGGCTTCAATTCGAGGTTTTACGGTACTTTATTACCTTTCGCAAAGGCATCACTCCCGTGATACGCCATTGGCCCGGGAATACAATTCTTGACACTTTCAATCTCCACTTATTTTAGAGCGATAACATGCGCATTGGGCCTGAAAGACTACGTTCACTAGCTTGATATATTATTAACCGTTAATTTATTTTTTTAAATTTATTTTTTTATGGAATTAAAGTCGATTAGTACGCATTTACTGTCCGCGTTATATGACCACTTGACACAAATCAGCGAGGAATTTATATTTTCAACATCATTAAATCACTGATCATTGGCCTGAGATGTCCGTGTGTTGAACCAAAATTTGAATGCATAATAGGACTATTTATCGATGCATAGCATTCAGTAATCATTTTCCAATTTCGAATTTACTGATATTCACTTTTAAGTGGTTCCCCTTTGCTAACGCTTGATTGATTGATTGATTGATTGATTGATTGATCAAACGATTGAAGAAGGCTAACCTCGGCTAAGATAATCAATTTAAATACTGTAATTATTAAGCATATTGATCTTTGTAGGCATATTTTGTATCTCCTTTGCACTCGCGATTCTCTGCATAGAAAAACCAAAGGAGACGTGCACCTTTTCCAGATTAGGCCTAGGCCGTTCCTTCCCAAATGGTACTCCCGTATGAGGAATGACTCCAAATGACATCTTCATAGTTGTTTCCCCTATTGCCAAACACATTAGCCACATTACTTCCTCCTACATGTGTCATCTTTGCCGATGACTTTGTATTCCCTACACAAAAAAGCACACCCTACCCGGATTTTATCCCTAACCCCAGATTTACCCTGCTCAGAATTCATCTCAACTGAAACGATACTGTCCCATATTTCTTCCCAAACATTGAGAACCAAATGACTTCTCCCAAGATCTATCTGACTCCCCTTTTCCTAGATTTACCATGGCATGATTTCTTTAAATCATTGCATTACAATAAAAGATCAATTGAGTCTGTTCTCTATCACATTACCGTACCGTGTTTATAAGCCTATTAGACTTTCTGGTTATAGGCGAAAATCGGGTGTATTAAGTAAAAGCGCCCTCCCCCACCCCCCGGCTTTCAGATATATAGGCCTGACAGGGTACAACAGATAATAATATGCAAAAAATAAACACAACGCGCAAAAATTTATTACAATGGAAGATGTAATTCAAAATAAAAGAGGAATGTAATGTTTGTAATGTACGCCTATCTATCGTGTTAAGAACGACAACAGACAAAATTGCACGTACATTGCCTATATTACCACCTGTCTGACCAGACAGCTGTATGACGACGGGCCCTGATACTAAATCCAATGAAACTAGTGACAAAAAGTGGTCGATATTACATGAAATTACAGGAGGATACGACCCAACTCGCCTCTTTCCCCTGGCTGGCATTATTTTCAAATGATAGATTTAAAACTATTAATTTTACCTGCAGCCACGATCACTTTTCAACAAATATTTAGCATCTTCAAATTTAAGTTTTCGATGAGAAAAAGGGGTTAAAGCTCAAATCGCATAGTCGACGCACTCGCATGTTTCGCGCACGTGCACGCACATTTTTTCACCCATTATACCTGCACATTTTCTTACGTATCCGTTACGAGGACTACGGTATCTGATATGCCCTACCTTTGGCTTTACTTCTCATAAGTATTCCAAACACTCATGCTACTCTCACTCACGTATTTTTTTTTTTTTTTTAAATTGAAGGTGAGCTTCATACAGTTGCATTCATGCTTATTTTATGACTATCTTAGGCCTATTTGCCCAAAAATCAGGAAACGATCCGCGCCCAGTTCCCTTTCTCCAGCCTGACTCTAGAATTTTTTTCTTAATGATGATTGATTGTGAGTCTTTCCCCCAAGCAGAAGTGCTCATTTCATTATTACTACAATTCCGAAACGTTTTTTTTTTTTTTCGTTCGTTCCACCGATCCGTTATCAAAATCCTGCGCCTGAACCAGTTTGTCCCGTTTTTCACGTTATTGTTGGCGGCGCCGGTTGTTTCCCGTTGGACAAGCATAGAATCCCCCTTCGTCTGTCTTCCCCGACGGCTCGACGAGATCGTCGTCAGACAAAAAAAAATAATTTTTCGATTCTTGGTCCGGAACTTCGGACCCCTGGAGCCACAACTGATGTTACGTACGGTCCGTGAGCTAGAATCGTACAACTAACCGCTAAGTACTAGTAATACTTTACGGTACGCATTGTATTCCCAAACTCATTTTTATAACTTGGTTTATTTCTTTCTCTGCGTATTTTTTACGCTACGAATTCATGTTAGGTCTAATTGAAGTTGAAATATATGACACAGTTATTGATTTTTTATTACTTACTCTATCTGCTGCTGTCACAGTATGTTTCCCGGACCCCTTCCATACTCCCAGGCTTAGATGATCCACGTATGAATCAGTTGCGGGATGCATGTCTGATTTATATTTTATAGCAACGAGTGTAGAATAGCTGCCCTATACTCTTTGCTTATAGTTATTTTATTCGGGTATGTTTCAACCCATTGCTAACAATTCCTTTAATACATATCAAGAAGAGTGTGCTGTCTTGCCCTTCAATATTTTATCGTAAACTGATAATAATGCACCTAGGCTATTATATACATCTGTACCTACGCATTGTTTTTTTTTTAATAACCGATATTACATCATCGATCTACAACATTCCACGTTATGAAACATAGGATTAATAGGCTATGTATTGCGTCACATTATGACGTATAAGTAAGTGTCAATATGCGCTTCGTTATACGCAGAATAATGCGAAGAACGCTAATAGTGTTTGGATTAATATAGCAACCACAATCCATTAACATACCCATAAACGCTCCCAATTCAACGATATATTGCTATGAAACTCTTGTCGTATGATCTAATATGGCCTAATATTAATCTGTTTACTTTGTTCGTCACAACTTCGTAATTCTAAAGTCTATTCGGAAGAATTCACACAATCTCGAGATCGATGAACATTTCAAATAATCGAAGATGCTCAGAACAACAACAACAATGACTTTTTATAATTATTGTACAATAAATATAATATTAATGAATGAATAATGATGACCTAATGATAAAAAAGAAAAGAATTTAAACCAAAAAATGTTTAAACTTTAATTCGGGATGTAGACAAAATCAATACCAACCACATCAATGTGTACCAAAACGGTCATTGCACCCAATTTACGCATTAATGAACTGACGCGCTCTAATGCTAACCTATGCTTTCGTCACCTATCACGTGATACAATCATACATCATTAATGACGTAATGTGTTTACAAGCTTTTTCCGACAGTTAAGGTGTTAAATGGTATACAGTATTTATATCACCTTCATACTGTTGTTCCTTTGGTTTGGATCTTGTATATTTGTGGACAACTGAGGGCGCGCTCCTCAATTTCGACACTCGCGTAAAAATCATTCATACTTTATAACGTACAAACGACTCTGGACAAATATTATAACTTTATTTTCCACTTTTGAATTTAATGCAAAATATTCATATTCCAAACAAATTACCACACTCATAATTATATAAATATTAATAAAATACAGACATCGTTTTTTGTTAGCGAAATCAATAATACATGGTTCTAACTGTACAAGATTATATAAATAACTGTATAAAGATTTGCATGCGACAATAGAGGGATGAAACCTGCATACATACAACAAGCATCAATGTAATGAATGCATAAAGTATTATGTGATAATTCTATGCTACAAGACCACTCCAGGTAAGGAACTAACTACAATTATTTTGTTATTGCTACTCATGCTACAATTTCTATTGCTTGATATGCTATAGATTTTATTGCTACACACACACTACAACTCTTATTGCATCACATGCTACAATCATCATTACACATGCTACAGTTACCCTTTCCAGAGTGTCAATTAAACGTAACCACTGCTCAAATATACGCGCATGTCCCATGGATACACAAGCTTACAACTTTTTTACATATTCCTATAATTTAAGACATTTTCTTTATGTTGTTACACATTTTATGCTAATTGACAGCAAGTACTCCACCAACACCAATGCAAGTGTAATTGGTAGACATAATTAAAACATAGATCAAGGATTTACGCTACATACTGCAAGCATATCAAAACAAACACACCACTGGTTTTATGCTGAAAGTTTACAAGCATTCAAACAACAACTACAATAATTAATGCTAGATAGATTTAAAACACATTGCGAGTAGTAATGATGTATATATGCAGAATATACAGAGATTTCATAACAGTCAGTGGAAGTGCACCCAATCAGCCCCACCCCCATAAAAAAAATCATGCTCAAGTAAAAATCACCTCAAATCACCTTATTTGGCATGCTAGCTGCTTCTCACCTAATACTTGAGTCCCCACCTTACCTTCATGCTCTACCCCCCCCCCCCCACCATTTTAAGACTCCTCGATATGCCACTTATAACAGTGCTCAAATAGTATCATATGATGTTATAATCTTATCAAGGACAGCTCTTCAACAAAAAGTTCCTTTTTCAGTTGTATGAAAAATGGGTCTGACAGCATTCAAACCTGTACAGTTAGGTGCAGATATTATTGACTTTGAATTTTAAAGATTTCTTTTAGCTTCATGTTTCATTCAATGCACTTTCGTATAACCAACTCATCATTGTAACCCACATCCAGACAATGCAGCATAAAGCAATTATGTTATCAAGTTACTTATCAGAACATTTTTAATATCAATTATTTCTAAGCACTTATGAAAGTAAAATCAATCTTCTGCTACTTAATACAATTGGGCTGACAGACAGAATGCAAGACTGCATCATTAAGAAGTAGTAAACAGGTTGTACGGTAATAAAATGGATTCACTACCAGAATTTTATCATCTTATCTCCTAAAATTGTACAACTGTACTCTTAAATTCTACAACTATAAAGTGGAGTAACCTCCTTTGTTCTACTTGAATACCTTTATATTATTGATAATTAGCACCAATCTGTTTATGTGATGAAACTTTATTGTTTACATTTATTACTTACAACTTATAAATCTACCACACTTTATTACTTGTAACAAACAGCTGATCACTTATTGTATTGCAGCTTGGATAATATCCAATGATTTAATCAACCCTGTTTATCATTATTTATTAAATTTCCTATTAATACTGGTCCATACTATGCTACTGTTGTCCCAAAGGGCCCAACATGCTTATAAGTCTCATTATGATGTTTATGAAATGGACTTGCTTTAGTTCTGAGAGGAAAACCTCCTGTCACAGGATTTGAACCGAGAACCATAGGATTGAAAGGCAAGCACCCTAACCACCAAGTCACAACTCCACTCCAAACCTATTATAAAAATTATAATTACAGGTGTTGAATTGAATACTATTTTAAATATGGGCAGTGTAATTCTCAAATTGTTTGGATAAAATTTACCTTCTGAACCATTAATAAATAATATTTAATGGAAATAAAATAATGTTTGTTTAATATATAAATATTTGTTATATACTCTGTTAGAACATGAGTCCTTCTAATTTTAATCTTATCCACCCACATGTGCCTAGTAATTGGAATTGTAGCACCTGTGTTTTTTCAACACATTTTGTTTAGCACCTTTCAGTGCAATGTCAATGCTTTCAACACCTTTCATCTTGGGCACTTTTAATTCTCATACTATGGATAATACTACCTGGGGTCAAAGGCGGATTTCCTGTCGTCAGTACAGCTGTAAACTGTCCTAAAGAGCATGCTCGGTCCTTTAGCAACATACCCATTAAAATTAATAAATGGGCCTTTTTCTTTGATCACAGTCAATGCACTATGCCAGAACATCGAGAATGGAAGCTTCCCAGCAACTGACCACCAGCCGGAGGCAGGGTCAAAGCATTCAATCACATCCCAGTTTTCAGAATCTGTCATGTTATCTCCACCAGCCACATATATCTTACCTATTAAAAAAGCACACAAATAATGAGTTCAGGTACAAATTTATAATGACTTGGTAATTTTAAAATGTAAAATATAATTGTTGACTTCTTCTGTAGTCGAATATCCATTATTTATTTTTAAGCATTGTTAACAATTCTTGTTATTTAATTTTTTTAAAATTCTTTGAATTGTTTTTGAATAAATGAATGTATATTTTGGGGTGGTCAGCTTACAATAATATTCAAATCATCTTTTATGGCTGCTAGGGTAGCATGTCGCTTTTATCAATTTCTCTTTAAAAATTAAAATGTACTAGTGTGTGTGCCCTCTCATACTCTTTTACATTGTACACAGAATTACATAAGTGACTCACCATCTATAACTGTGCAGCTAGTACAGATGTGTCTACTGAGAAGGGGTGCTACCTCAAATGCCTTGTCTTGCCCCGGATCATACACCTGTACCACAGTACTTGAACCACCTAGTATGTATATCATATCATTCAGCACCACGCTCTTGCATGCTAGAAAATATAGTTTATCAAAAACTAGAGACAGTAATGTATTATGTTTACTGCCCTCTTGTGAAATAGTAGTTTTTTTTTCACAGCTATAGAGCTACTGTGTTATGCACTGACTTTTGGGATTTATATTTCTTTGTCCCTGTATACAGGCATTTTCCCAATGCTCTGAATAATTTACTGTACATATCAAACTTGAGGCAACACCTCCATCAGTGATATATAAAGGTAAAGTTAATAGAATTTAGTGTGGAACTATCTCCCTAATTTACTAACCAATTTAACCACAAATCTTTAAGCAAGTAAATGCTGCATGTTCAAATATTTACTGTAATACTAAATATTAAAATTGCCTACTACTGCCCATTTTATTTGATATTCATTACATTTTTTTTAGTGGGGAGTGGAGGAGGATGCATAGCATGTATGAATAACTAAAACCAATTGCCAGGAAGATTTAAGATTGTCTACAACTGGTAAAAATAAATACTGAAATAAACAAAATCATTTAATTCAAAAGGAAACTTGATTAACCATTTACCTTTGCTTTTGACAATCAACGTTGATATGACTGTCCACTTCTCGGTATCCACATCAAAACACTGTATCTTGTCATACATGGAATCATCCTGATTCAATAATCCACCAATCACAAACAGTTTCCTTTTGTAGCCACACACAGCGGGGAATGCAACGGCTTCTGGCATTGGTGGACACAGATGCCATTTATTAGTTTCTAGGGAAAAGCACTCTACAGAGTTGAGCTTTGAGTTCTTGTCAAATCCCCCAACTATGTACATCTTTCCTGCAACTACAGTAGAACAATGCTGGTACCTAAACAAAAGAGTGCATATCAGAATTGAATAAAAAAAACAGCAGATTGAAGTATTTTCATATGGGTGTGTTAAGGTGGAAGTTATGAAGCTAGCACACCATTTCTCTTTATCTACATTTATTTTCCTGACCCAAGTAACATAAAAAGGTACCTTGTAGGTTAGAAACAATTCCTGAGGATTGTGGCAGGCTGCTCATTGTGTATTATTAATTTATTAATAAGGTTTCATATTCTAATGCTCTGTCCAGATTTATATCAAATGTTTCCTTTGACAAAGGAATATCCTTTGACAAAAAAAAGTTGTATACCCATATATAATCATAATGTGCCTATATATGGTCATGATGTGATGTCATCATGACCATATTCAGGCATGTCACATGCTTTTAGACTAGGCTCAAAGTAATATTGTTACTCTTTATAGTGAAGGTTTTTGTAGAGAGCCTAATTGCACCATAATTTATTTTTATGTAACAGGGGCAGTTTTGAATGTCAGCTTTGCTGTACAGTATATGACAATAGTAAAAAAGGGATTTATTTAAGAATTTAAAAAAAAAATCAGAATTAATATTAAAGTTGAAGGCAACAGAATTCTGCTGACCTTGCCCTGACCAATGGTGGTGCAGCATCCCAGGTATCCTTCTGTGTATCGTAACGCCATACAGATGGCACTGGATTGGTACGATTGCCATCATAGCCGCCGGTGATGTAGATATCGTTGTAATACACAACTGCATCATACATCACTACACTTTTTAGGGAGAAGGGCATCATTGCCAACTTCTTCCACGGTAAATCTAACGTCACGGTAGGATCACAGCTAAATGATGATATACTGAAATGAGGATTTAATTTAAGATAAGAAGATTAAGATATACAGTCCGTGATCAGCTGAAAGACTTTAAAAAAAATGCATTATTAAAATTCATAAATTAGTTATCACATTTTAATTAAAAATTAGAATAGAAATTAATTTTTCTGAACATATAATAAAACATTGTTTTGCATAGACCCTTAAAGTTTGAAGGCAAATAATTGAACAATTTTTGTAGTCAAACATCAACACATCAGTGAAAACTAGATTAAATTTATTCTGTGATCATTTGGAGTTAATAACTTATTTAATTCTTTTTAAATAATGAACAACATAATTTCTTAATTGAGATTTTGATGTTTCCACATACTGTACAGTTGATGTATACCACTACAAATACTGTATAAAAAATTGTAATATATCAAATAATATTTTATATTCAAAGTGGTATTCATCAACATTATGAGTGTACAGTAATTCATTTGACTGTTGAAAGTGTGAACATCATGAGCTTTGCATTCCTGGGTGTTGTGGCAGTCAGATTTATATATCTAGATGAATCCGATGAATTACTACCACACATTGTCACGTGTCACCACATATCAGTATCTTTATAAAGAAATATCTCACTTATTTCTTTGCTTTAAATTTGCCATTTGCACTCCGCCTAAAACAACCATCACTTCTGTGTAATCACTTGACCGCCTTGGTCTCCGCCATGGATGCTTAACCTGTTGCAGGCCTGAAGCGCCCTCTATAGCTTTCTCCACAATTTCTTGACACTCTGGATTCTTTAATAAATCATCAGTTTGGATTTCATAAAGTGTTTTGACTGGCAGAACGGGAAGTCTAATTAAGAACAGCATCTGAGGTAGATACTGTTGCCGATTTTCTTTGTCGTGCAAGATCCAATCAGAGACGATGTCAAAGAGCTCTTTCTCGTTTTGCACCTGAACATCTTCAGAAGCAATAAAAGAGTTCATCTGAATTGGACTAATATTCAGAAACTGCTCATCTCTTCGAAATTTTACAAAATTTTGTAGAATGAATTTCTCCGCAGATTGTTTAAGTTCAAAACAACCATGGAGATCTGCAAATTCATGAAGTTCAAAGCAATTTGTTAAATCTAGCTGACGAACTAAAAAATCTGAACAAGCTGCTAAAAGAGATTTGAAAAGAAAGAAATTCGCAGTCGCTAATAGCTCTTTTACATTAACAGTTGTGATAATTATCTTAGACGTGTAGATATAATCAATAATTAACTCCAGCATAATGGGATTTACATCTTGTAGAACGATTTTCGCTTCATTATTCTCACGTAGATTATTAGTGAACATGGCTCGAAAATATGGACTGCCTGCTGCAAGGATTGTTCGATGACATCGGAATTCACGATCCCCGACACACAGAATTACATCAATCATGTCCTCATTTTGACGCATTTCACAGAAAGCGGCTTGCAAGTTTTCAGGGAAAGCATAGTTCTGATAATCACATGAGTCTCGTCTCTCTTGCTTCTCAATTCCATCTTGAACAGCAGCCATTTTAACAAGTGTTGAGTTATTGCTTGTTTCAATCAATAAATGTTGTGAAAATCAATCCCGACTCATCTTGAGACATCACCCAACAACAACAAAGCTGTACCTGTAATGAATAAGAAACTCAAATAGAGTTGGAATAAAATTTGGGCAATAGTGGGATCCTTCGCCATAAATTAATGTATGAAGTGTCAAAGATACAAAATCAGGTTATTATATAGAAATCTATTTCCGTTAACATTTCCCGATTTGTGGATAGAAAACTGGTTTTTAATGACAAAATCAGTCTAGGCTAACTAGTCACTATTACTTACTAGGCTTACCCATCTGAGTCTACATGCATCTTTTTGCAAGCCTGTCACCAAGCTCAAATAGGCTGCAACATTAAATAGAAGCTAAGCCTCCCATTTATGAAAATAAACCTTATTTTCTCCCTCAAGGCCTAGGCCTATAGCTGAATTACCCTATGGTTGGCCTAGGGCCTAGGCCTTTGGCCTTTTTAGTTCATCTACAGTCAGTTCAGCAGTTACTTCGTGTGATCTCACCAACCAGTAAACTTCAGAAAGTAAACGGAAGAAGTATAATTAATAAATAAGATGCTTAGTCTGCCTAAGCAAGGAGCAAGCTACAGTATAGCACCTCCCAGGCCTGTCTAACCAAGACTGGGCCTAGCCCGGCCGCTGGCTGCCCCTTTTTCTGGGCTCAGAGGGGCCTAGCTAGGCCTATAATATAAAACTTTGTACCTAAATAACAGAGATAGCTATGTAAGCACCAAATCCATAGTAAAGCACATACAAGGTAAAGTAGATTGAGCTAACCTGTGCACTTAATTCAAAATTGTGAATATAAAAGAACTGCTCAAGCCTCTGACAAGTCGCAACACTTTGTTTATTTTATCGTTGTGTGTTATGTATCAACAAAACAAAGGATGCCCTCACAAGGCCGTATAAATCGGAAGCACCCTACGAGAACGACCCGCTAAATTTAAAATTTAAAATAGGAACATTGTAGTGGTTTTTGAAGGAAAAAATGTAATGAATAGATGTAGGCCTACACACA